GGACCCTACGGGTTCGAAAACTATGTAGACATGACCGAGACATGTCTCCGGTCAATAACCAATATTGGAACCTGGATGCTCATATTGTTTCCTACATATTCTATGAAGATCTTTATCGGTCAAACCGCATAACACTATACGTTGTTCTTTTTGTCATCAGTATGGTACTTGCCTGAGATTCGATCATCGGTATCCCAATACCTAGTTCAATCTCGTTACCGGCAAGTCTCTTTACTCGTTCCGTAATGCACTATCCCTCAACTAACTCATTAGTTGTATTGCTTGCAAGGCTTATAGTGATGTGTATTACCGAGAGGGCCCAGAGATACCTCTCCGACAGTCGGAGTGACAAATCCTAATCTTGATCTATGCCAACTCAACAAGTACCATCGGAGACACTTGTAGAGCACCTTTACAATCATCCAGTTATGTTGTGATGTTTGGTAGCACACAAAGTGTTCCTCTGGTATTCAGGAGTTGCATAATCTCATAGTCATAAGAACATGTATAAGTCATGAAGAAAGCAATAGCAGTAAACAAAAACGATCAAGTGCTAAGCTAACGGAATGGGTCAAGTCAATAACATCATTCTCCTAATGATGTGATCCCATTGATCAAATGACAACTCATGTCTATGGTTTAGGAAACTTAACCATCTTTGATCAATAAGCTAGTCAAGTAGAGGCACACTAGTGACACTATGTTTGTCTATGTATTCACACATGTATTATGTTTCCGGTTAATACAATTCTAGCATGAATAATAAACATTTATCATGAAATAAGGAAATAAATAAATAACTTTATTATTGCCTCTAGGGCATATTTCCTTTAGTTGGCTCGTCATCGAAGGCGTCCCCCATTTGCATGTCCTTTGCCTGCCAGTCGGCAGCAATGGCGGCCATGGCCTTCTTCCGCTCCGACATCAGTCCATCCCAAAGAGCTTTGGCCACGGATGGATCCATGATGGGGAGTAGTGTGGAGAGGGATAACTGTGGCTATGGCCGAGGCACCGGGGCAGCTGTTTATATAGCACTGATGGACGGTAGATAAACGGACGAGTGGCGCCGGAGGAGATTCCTAGGCAACCTCGTGCCATCAATGGGGACAGCAGACGGATGGACAGGCGACCATTGTGTCATTTGAATGTGCGGCAGTCGCCTGCACTGGGAAGCGGAGCGGGGGCGCTCTCTCGACCAGCGTGCCGCTTCAATGCCGGCGCCATGAGCGGTCGCGTCCGCTCTAGGCGGGCATGAATGCGGGCCCAGATGCTCTGGAGCGGCACCGATCGAAAACACGCGGGAGGGGTGAGGGGTATTTGGTGGGCCAAGGTGGTCAGAAACGGGCCTGGGATTGATCCGGACTCCCACAAACCTCCCCCACTTTTATCTCCGGTTTGCGGGAGAAATCATGTATGGACCGCTCTGCGGACCGATACAGGACCGCATTGGATGGCTTTCGCGGTCCGGACAGTTGTGGGAGGTTTACAGGTCGGTGTTGAAGATGCCCTTATAATCCCTCACATTCATCATGAGGAGATGTTTTGGGATAAATCAGATATTTATATGCTGCAGGTAGAAGTTTTTTTTTGAAAGGGAGGATAACCTTTGGCCTCTGCATCAGAACGATGCATACGACCATAGATATTAGCGGGTAGAAGTACTTCTATGAAAATGACAGACATTTTCTTGATGGTGTAGAAATGTATTCTGTTTTTGCATTCTTGCTAGTCTCAACCTTTTGTACATCCCTCCACCAAAAAATGCACACCATTTACTTTTTACAACCTTAAAAGTGTGCAAATTTTAACAAACTAGGCGCCGCGTCCGGATGGTTTCACCGGTGCCTTATTTAGGTCATGTTAGGAGACAATAAAATCTAATGCCATGCGGTTACTCATAGCTTCTCTAACCTCCGTGTCGAACACTTTTAGTGAGTTAATACCATCAACATTGTGTTGCTCCCTAAGAAGGACGGGGCCGAAAGCATCTCTGATTTCAGACCCATCAGCCCTGTTCATGTAGTTGCAAATATTGTGGCGAAGATTATGGCTTCATAGCTTGTCCCTTCGTCCATACGCTCATCTCCCAGTCTCAAAGTGCTTTCATAAAGTCTAGAAGTACCCATGATAATTTCATCTATGTGTGTAACCTGGCAAGGAAAAAATGCACCGCAACAAAAAGGCCTCTCTCCTTTTTAAGATCGACATAAAGAAGACCTTCGACTCAGTTCATTGGGACTCTTGAGTTCAGCTCCTCTGTCGACGAAGTTTTGCCACCAGAATCACGAACATGCTTGCTGCCTTCTTTGCTCTACCACCTTGAGGTCATGCTCAAGGGCGTGCTGGGAGATCCCATTCAACACGGCCGGGGCCTTTGGCAGACCTTCTGTCGACGCTTCTTTTTGTCCTGACAATTGATTTAATCCATAACCACCTCAACATTGCCAATCGGTGTGGCCTTTCGCACTCCATTGGTGGGACATTTGCTTTCATCCGCACTTCCCTATATGTTAATGCTGCCACCATTTTTGTCGCCCCCATTAAGGAGGATATCCGACACCTCACCTCCATACTTGTCGGCTTCAGGGAGGTTGTCAGTTTAGTTACCAACCTTGAGAAGAGCCTTGTAGCTCCGACTAGATGTGGGGACATTGACCTCGACTCCGTCCTCGAGATCTTTCCGGCTAGACGTTCAACCTTCGCACTCAGATATCTAGGCCTACCCTTGTCGATTCACCGCCTTAGGAAGGTGGACCTCCAACACCTGGTTGATAAGGAGACCGAGAAGCTTGTGCTTTCTTAGGGGTAGCTCATCCCGGCAGCTGGCATAATGGCCTTGGTCAAGGTAGTGCTCACTTCAATTGCAACCTACCATATTACTGCGTTGGGGCCTCCGGAGGAAATCGTGAGTGCCTTCGAGAAGATTGAGCATGCTTTTTTGGGTGGGCTTGGACAAGGTTTCCGGGGCCAGTGCAAAGTAAATTGGAATTTGAAGGTGGTGTGCATAACTAAGCGGTTGGGTCCCTTGGTGTTATCAATCTCGTAGGTATGCGAGGGCACTTTGTTTACGGCGGCCTTGGTATGAATGGAAGGAGCCCGATAGGGCATGGGTTGGCTTGTGCACACCATATGATAGCACCGGCATGGACCTTAGCAACCACCATCACTATTGGTAACGGATGTATGGCCAAATTTTGGCACTTCCCATGGCTCGATGGCACCAAGACCAAAGTCAATGCCTTGCCATTTTCCACACTTCTAAGAAGAAGAATGCCTCTGATCAAGACGCTTTACATGACCTTGCTAGTATCCCCTGGATAGACATGTATGATGGCCTCTCCGTTGCCCATATCCAAAAATTCTACACTCTGCTGGCCCAACTTCATGTTGTGCACCTTCAGGACGGAGTTAAGGGCGACATCACCTGGAACTTCACTACCAACAACATCTACTCGACCGCATCTGTGTACAAATGCGCAGTTTGAGGGGGCGGTCTCCACCATCATCGTGTTGACTATTTGGAATAACTCAGCGCCACCCAAGTGTAAGTTCTTTGTATGGCATCTCATTAATAATATGGTCTGGACTGCTGACCGCCTACAAAGGTCCGGATGGCCAAAATGTGGTCTCTGCTAGCTTTGAAAGATGGAGCCAGAGTCTGCAACGCAAATCTTCTTCAAGTGTTGATAGTCGCTAAGAATTTGGACCGTTGTTTTCTCAATGCACCCGAACTAGCTATTTCATACTGGGGACGCTTGGCTTCGGTCCATAAGTGGTGGAGGTTCACGCTCCTATAACCTGGCCAGACGAGGAAGGTCAGCGCCTCGCTCGTTATGCTTGTCACATAGGAGTTATGGAATAAAGGAATGCATGGGTCTTCCGCAATAAATCGACATTTCCCACAATCATCATCACAAACATCAAGACGAATGCTTAGGAATTGGGTCCTCGCAGGGGCAAAACACTTGAGTTCTTTCATGTTACGATAGTAGAATTTTCTTGTTGAGGGGCCATTTTTTTGGCCAAGCGTGGAGCACAAACAGTTGTGGTTGTCAGAAGAACCGTTGTCAATATGGTGTTTGGAACGCACTTCATGTCCTAGGTGAAAACCCTTGTTCCGGCCTTTGCTGGTTGGGCTCACCAGCGGCGAACTTGTGTTGTTATCTTGATGAAGGTGTTGGGTTTGTGACGATGGCGGTAGCAGGGCGCTTATCCTTCCTGAAGGTGTTGCTCCGGAAAAAGTCGGCTTAGTTCTAGGTGTTACATTCATATTTTGTAATGGTTTTGACATAGTTGCTTTTGCTATGTACCTTACTTGTTAATGACTTTGGGCTCAATATCTTGCATCGGCTCTAATCAAAATGGATGTATGCATCAGCTGATGTAGACGCCAAGATTCAATCGCTAAATGTCATTGACGGACGACCGCCATGAGGGACTCTTTTTTTAAAAAAAAAAATCACATTTTTGAAGTTTCAAAAAAATCACACATGTTTATATGGATGCATACTGCATGTGTACAAAATTTGAAGATGCTATACATTATGGTGAGAGCTACACTAAAAAGACAAATTCGTGATTTTGAAATTAGTGAACAGTACTGTTCACTATTAAGAAAATTGCACGTGTTTGTCCTTTTTGTGTAGCTCTTATCATAATGTAGTTCATCGTTAGACTGTATACACATAAAAAATACATCCATATGAACACGTAGAATTATTTTTGCAGAATTTTTTGAAACTTCAAAATTTTGATTTGTGATTTATTTTTTTAAAGTCCTCCATGGAAGTCGTCCTCCAATATTCTTTTTGCCTCTCTTTCAAGAAAAGACAACTGTGAATTCTACTGTCGGATTTATACACGAAGTGAGGTGGGGAGGTGATAGTTGGATGCATTTCACTGCGAAAAGTAATAAAAAAATGGTGGAAACTATTTTGACCCTCCGTTTAATCCTGTTACTGCTACCTTTTGTGCATGCTACAGAAGAAGAGAGCAATATCATGGCGAGCTCCGTCTTCTACTTCGGAGAGATCGGAGTAAACGACTACATCTTCGCGCTATTCAGCAACCGCACAGCCGAGTTCGCGGCGAGCTTGGTGCCGGACATCGTCGGCGTCACCCGCTCGGCGCTGAACGTAAGCAGTGAACCCTTTCGACCCAACCACCAGCATAACAGAAGCGCGGACCAACTGTGCATCGTTTACGCAGGCCGTGATCGCCGCCGGTGCGAGGACGGTGCTGGTGACGGGGATGATCCCGCTGGGGTGCGAGCCGGAGCTGCTCGCCCTCTTCCCCGGCGACGCGCACGGGGAGTCCGGCTGCATCACGGGCTTCAACGAGGTCGCTCAGCTGCACAACCGCGCGCTGAACCGCATGCTCCGCGAGCTCCGGCGGAGCCACCCCGGCACCACCCTCTTCTACGCCGACACCTACAGCCCCATCGCCAACCTCGTCGCCTCGCCCGGCAAATACGGTGCCTGCACGCGCAATATAACTGACAACCACCGCCTTTTGTAGTTCATTCATCCTGACATCACTGATTTTACTGGTTTTACTTGGGGCGTGCAGGTTTCGGCGACAGGCCGTTGGCCGCGTTCTGCGGCGGCGGCGCTGGGCCGTACCACTTCGACATGGCGGCGTTCTGCGGCACGCCGGACTCGACGGGGAGCTCTGACCCGTCCGAGTTCCTCTCGTGGGACGGCATCCACTTCACCGACGCTGCCAACAGGTTCATCGCCCAGGCGCTGCTCAGAGGATTGTATAACGCGTCGGCGATGGCAGAGCCGCAAACTGCACTGCTCTGACATAAGACCGTGTCTGGATTTTACCTCCAACAACCAGGATTATACATCTCTCGGTCGGATTGATTTGTACTGCTCAAGCTATTTCTGGCGAGATCGACTCCCATGCCGGCACCACCAGGAGTACATGTTATCAGCGAAATATATGTGATTTTTTTTTGTTTCTAAAGGCTATTGACCTGACGTCAGATAACGACCGATTTCGAGCGAACGCCTTCAACTATTACATCGGATCCCGCACGCGAATCTCAAACCGTTGGCTCCTGCCACCCTCCACAGGAACGACTGAGAATGACTGAATGGTTAACCGCAGAAACCCCCTTAGAACAAATGCCGAATTTATTTCTAAAACTTGAACAAGTGGTTATATAGAGCACAACAAATCTTACTTTTTAGGCTTTTTAGCCGTGACAACTATGTCAGCTACAACATGACAATTCTGTGTTTTTCAGTTTTTACACACTGCCAGTGCTATAGCCTGGCAAAGTGCGTTATTGTTTTTTGGACATAGCAACTATATTTGTCATAGCATGACAACTTTTTTATTTAAACATGGCATGGCAACATTTTACATTGTCCCACCGCAATTCTCTAGCAGCCGCATGGCAAATTTCTATCTTGTAGCATGACAATTCTTTATATTGTAGCATGGCAAATCTTTATCTTGTGGCATGGGAGTTTTCTATATTGTAGGATGACTAATCTCTATCTTGTAGCATGGCAATTCTTTTTTTTCCTGTACCATGGCAATCCTATTCTGACAGCATGGCAATTACTGAACTGTAGCATGACAATTCTTCTATATCGCAAGCATGACAATCCTACTGTGACAGCATGACAATTACTGAATAGTAACACGACAATTCTTCCATGTCGCAAGCATGGCAACATGTCAATTTTTCTGTTGATAACATTGTCATAGCATTGCAATTTCTCTTCTATAGCATGGCAAAGAGGGTGTGGACGAGGAGGGAAGATGTGTTTTTAAGGGAACAATTTGTTCCCTCGTGAGAGCCATCCAAAGCGCACACTCGTTTGCTCGGGTCACCCTTCAGGAAACATCAACTGGCTATTGGTGTCCTTTTTTCATACAATTCTAGAACAGGGTCGGATTCCACCATGAAAAAGTAACAACACATAAACATGAAAAAAACATCATGGTACAACTAAAGGCTGAATGTGCCGCCTCCTAAGGCTAATCCTCCACCTAGGAAAGCAAAATTTTCAACAGAACGCTGAATTATTACATATTACATGGGGGTACGGGTGCAGACCGAGGCTCCTCATTCATCCATCGGATAGGACGCCCCGTCTATGGACCAAGAGAACGAGATATTGACTTTTTTTACATCTGTAACTACATTCTACATGTCCACACCGTCTACGTGGCCCAAAACACACTAACCTTTGTTACTTTATTAATAATAACACTAGGCTTTATTCTCATTATACAAATGTTCGTGAAAGTCATTGGTTTGCATTCCTATATGGGGGATATCTATACCCCATCCCACTTTCACACTCCAACAAAAAATAACTAGCCACAAACAAAGTTGTTTAGATCATCCACATCAACCAAACCATCAACTTAAAAGGCGTCATTGATCCAGCCTGTGGTGAGGCCATGGCGTGCTAGGAAGCCTTGTTCTTGGGGCAAGGTCTTCATATTGCATTGGTGGTCATTGCATGTGATTCGTCAACGGTGGGACATCTCTGGAGAGCAAACGCTAAGATTATTGTGAAAATTAGGAAGTTGCTTGCAACAAATGGTATATTACATTCTATTACGAATTTAGAGAGGCAAATGTGGATGATCATAACATAGCTAAGAACTCTTTAGACTTAGATCCTAGCCGTCATGTGTGGCCTTTGGACAGCCCCCCACCCCCGCTCCCCCCC